GTTGTTTCTGGCCCATGCCCAAGGTCGCCACACAAGTGCTGGGAGATGCCACCGTTGCCCTATACCTTGAGGAGGCGAACCCTATTGTTGCTCCAGCCCATGTGTTGGCTGCCATTCCCACCACAAACTGCAATCCACACCCAGTCTACTGCTTGTATAAAGTGTAAAGAGAAGTCTATAACCAGAGTCGTTTATTGTATAGCGCTTATGAACCAGTTACAGATACCAGTGAGAACGGCAGTCTGATGCTTCTGTTTACCTACCTTAAGTGTTCTGTATCTCTAAGAGGAAACATGAGATAGATCATATCATAGAGACTTATGGATTGTATTTTATTTGTTAGGGGAAGTCAATTTAGACTAAAATAAAACTAACCAAGTGTATTTTTCTCTCTTTCAGGTTAAGACTAACTTCAGGACAGCAATCACCATCCCAGAAAAATCTTGGTCACGGTTTCGGGACATATTTGCAGATTATGTAGACAAAATGAAGGATGGTGGCGAGAAGGGCCCTAGTGAGAGTAATAAATGAGGAGCGTGGCAGTGTTAGGTATGCTAAAGGATTGACTGGTGACAGGCACGTGTGGGGATGGTGACGTGTTGTTCTGGCCATGCCCAGGTCGCCACACAAGTGCTGGGAGATGCCACCGTTGCCCTATACCTTGAGGAGGCGAACCCTATTGTTGCTCCAGCCCATGTGTTGGCTGCCATTCCCACCACAAACTGCCAATCCACACCCAGTCTACTCTTGTATAAAGTGTAAAGAGAAGTCTATAACCAGAGTCGTTTATTGTATAGCTTATGAACCAGTTACAGATACCAGTGAGAACCGGCAGTCTGATGCTTCTGTTTACGTGAGGAAAACTAATGTCCTTGGTAGACTTCCACAGTTATAGAAAAAGGAGTTTATAGGCAATTAAATGTTAAGTGATACACATAATTCTAGAAGACTTTACTGTCATTGGCGGCACTTGTAACTTGATGATATGGGATATATGATAACCGGCCACTGCCTGTTTATGTGTGTGTGCAGCATTTATCTGAGGAACTCACTGTGATAGATCTATCACGCAGTTGTGAGTGAAATTGTGGATAGAAATCCTATTGAACCCGAAATGCCGGAACTCCACAGGACCCAACATAGTTATGGCTCGCAGTAGGTTCTATGAACACATGTTGCTGAAAGAGTCGTAATAACCAATTGAACATTTGTTACAATACGATAGTGAAAGGCCACACTAGGCCAATGCCCGTTACATAGTGTGGTGGAGTTGAGCCTTGGAGTGGTGCACTGCTGCCCAACCCACACACCCACCACATACCCGATTCAGTCATCAAAAGCAGGTTATTAACAACTTCCACATACATAGAAATAGTTATAAAACTGTAAGAGATATGTAAAGACCAAGAACATGTAACTACCAGAAGGGTTCTGATGGGTGTGTGGGTAACGGGCAGCTATGATGTGCCGCCGTCCCGATGCGGACTGACCTCACCAGCCACTGCCACCAGTTGTCATGTTGTCTTTCATTGCCACTACCCAACCTAGAAGCAGATGGTGTACCAGCAGGAGCAAGAACCACCACCATGGAGCTAGATACAGCTAACAAGGAGAGGGGACAGTACGGTTCAGGTGTTTCTCAACTTAGTCATCAAGAATGTCAGCATAAAATTAGTGAAGCCAGATATTTGAAAAGAACTTGCTATTGAGTAAGATGGTGCCCAAGCGGTGTAAGTGGCATAGCAGAGTACCGTCCTGTCCCCCTGCTACCTGCCTGCCTTGCTGGATTGCCCTCAAGCCTCCCTGGACTCCCAACCAACTCGCCAACAGTGCCACTAGCAGAGCCTCAGGTCCTGTTCTCTTGTTCCTTCTCAACTGGAAAATATATTGTCAAGATTGGGAAAATTTCTGAAATTGGATTGGCTGGAGATGGAACTCGACTACCCTAGTGAGGGATGGTGCTGGCCGTTGATCAATGATGCCTTCACTGTTAGATTCTGCTGGTTATGCCAGTGGACCAATAGGTCAGGTAGGACAGTGCTCAAGGCTCTGACTAGGCACAATAAAATTTGCCGACTCACCCCATCTACCAAGACTGAAACCCCAAGTCAGGACACATCACACTTTGTTTACTTACTTTGTAAAATGATTTGCTATAGATAGAGACTTAATTAGTATGTGAATTATCTTGCAGTAGCATCTTGTCATGCTTCTCCTAAGTGCAGTGTTCGGGACGTCAGTGGTGGACCATACGCTTCATGATACATAAGTGTTGGAAGACAAATTCAAACTCCCCCCAAACCTTCATATCAAGGCTTTTCTTGTGGACTGTGGCAAGGCATATTTGTTGGGGCATTTGGAGGGAGCACGACAGGAACACATGCAAGGTTGATTGACACAGCTTTAATAGTAACAGAATAGGAAGAAATGGGAGTTTACATACATCTATAATTGATACCGATAGTTTTTTTGTGAAAAGATTTATGTAACTAATCATGATGTTATTTATATGAATGATCACTTTCTACATAAAACTTGAAAAAATGTTTGGTACTGTGTTGGCCAGGTGTATTGAGATGGTAATAATGTGTGATCCCCAGAACCAGGCCTGGTCACTCATCCTCACCACCATGTTTCTGTTCCACCTGTATATACAATCAGTCCTTTGGGATTTCAGCCCAAACATTTCTTTTTGCTGATTTTTCATGAGCATCCTAGACTGGTCTGCAGTCTTATGTGTGTGTGTGCTTATTTCTTCTGTTTTTCCCAAGGTATCACGTTATCTGTACTTCATGATTTTTGTTGGATAAAGGATGTGTAGTTGATAGGTTTGTGTATTAGAGTACTCAGCAGCATTATTTTTTTTATACCAAGTGTGTAGCAGTAAGGAGGGCTAAGGTAAGCTGTAGTGCAGACCAATCTAAGGGTTGCACAGTGGCTGTGGCTTGTGTCGTGGTGGCCCAGTGCTGGCTGACACCGTCCACGTCTGTCTCTGCCAGGGATGCTCACCTTTTATTGATTATGATATTTTAGCTAAAAATTGTTTAATTTGAATTTTTTATCATGATTGATATCTTGGTGTTGTGTGTATTTTTGCCTGTTTCCCTCCATTGTTGTTAATAGTACAGCAAATGATATCAGGCAGATGTAGGGCAAGAAATTATTTTTCTTAAAACTTTGTGACCATTTGTAATTTTCCATAGGAATAATTGTCTGTTATTGAAATTACATTTTGTAATTTTCTGAGGATAAATTGTCTATTTCTAAAGCTACAAAATATATGAGTGCTTATATATGGAATAATATATATAACCAGATGGAACTTGAAAAGATTAGGTGGCATTTGGTATGGAAAGAGGCAGATATGGCCATTAGCCAGCAACTGTGTCCAGGCCAGGCTTGTAGGCGCCCTTCTACCAAGCACACCTGCACGGGTGGCGTGAGCTTGGTGTAGCAACTTTCATGACTTAAGGCAAAATTTATTATCAGTTTTCGGTGTGCTATATGTAATGGAATTTTCTATACTGAAAATTTGTAGAAAAAAAAGTGGTTTGGACGTTTATTGGCAGATTGTGGGATTATAGAGAGGTGTGGAGTGTAAACCCAGCTCGGAATATGCTATTCTTATGATAATTTGGTGTCCCTACGAGTTCACATGCTACAGTAGATCAGGAGTATGCTGAGGATGGGAGATGATGACTACATGTTGAATTAACACCTTCATTGTAGTAAAGATGTGGATGTGGGGTTACAGTAGTTTCGTGGGAGCCTGATCAGTCCAAGGGTGTCTACCAAGTGTAGGACAAGTGGGAACTTCAAGTTATCCAGCAGACAAGCATTTCCGCACGTATTTGTGTGTCCATGTCTGTTGCTCCATGTTGACCATCCCCGAGTAGGATACTTCAATCTGTGTTACCAAACAGTGATGAATAGAAGCCTTCATTGTTTGTGTTTTCAAGCCAATTCACTGCCATTTTTTGTCGTATCATGGTGATGGAATTGAAGAAGTATAAACAGTCCAGCAGTCCAGGGTGTTGGCTCATTGAGTTAGAATTTTCTTTCTTTTCATTTCGTTTTAGCTTATTTATTTTTATTAATATGATAATTTCTTGTTATCTTTATTTTTAATTATATTGTCAAAGAATTTGTTTACATTTTTATCATTACTAATACTTTTTTTTGTTTTGTTTTTTGTTTTTGTTTTATACTTTGATTTTGGGGACTTTTTGCCCAGTTTTGATGGGATTTGATGAAATCTGTTGCTTGATGTGCCTGGTTTAAGCCAAGAAATTGAGGTAATTTGGTTTGTTTCAATAAAAAAGCATTTAATATCTTTTGTTTAGCAGCAGCTATTATCTCTCTAAGGAATATCAATTTAGCTTTTATTTGTCCTTCAGCAATTGTACATTGATTCTGAATTGCTTCAAGTCTTGCTGTGTTGTAATTACTGACCTAATGGATATGTATTATTAGTCTCACATGAATCCCATCTTTTTGGCAAGAAATAATAAAAAGACGATCAAAAGTGGATCCTCTTGTGTTCTTGTACTATTATCTTGTCCTCTCGTTTGGTTAAAGCTGCGGCAAAATGTTCGCCTTGTTCTCATTCTGTAAAATTTGTTGCCATATAGATTTTCCCCTTAAAAAATTGTTTTGGAGAAAATGTACATAATCTGTTTTGATTTGATCAAAATCACCTTGCTGTAATGGAAGTATTGATAAGTTGTTAATTGGAAAAAGAAATTTAAGTTCTCTAAGGAAAGTAATTATATGAATTGCAATAAATGGAAGCAGTTGCAGTACTATAGTAGCCAAGTTTTATTAGAACAAGGAGCACAAAGGTAATGTTTCATATTAAACACATACTTTTAAGCACCCAAAACACAGCTGTAAGAAGTGTGCAAATGTGTTTACATGATGCACCTGACATAATTCCCATGAAGCACCTTACATACAAGACATCCATCATGCCACTCGCCATGCATGCACATATCACACAT